TGGAAACACCAGCTCTCGTGCCCTCTGCATTCATCAAACTCACAAAATAACTGTGGCGCATGACCGAGATTCAAGTTGCCAGTGGCAGAGACCAGGTTTGGCAGGGAGCCGCGTGTGGTCAAGCAACTATTGTTACTCCACCCTGCCGGGCGTTGCTTGTTGCCACACTTAAATCCGGATACACGGCAATACAGTTTTGGTTCGTTTTTGGCCAGTGGCCGAAGACAGAAGGCCAGTGGCCGAAGACGCATCAAGAGGATTTAAGCTCGGGGCATCCAAGGGCATCACATGTCCGCAGCGTGCGATTCTTTATCACGGTGCTATGGAGAACCTGTTCAACTTCAATTTCGCTGGCCACCCTGTCAACAGCATGGAAAGCGCGGAGCAGTGCCGCCAGTACAGTACACATGGTTTCAGCCGGCATGCAACAAGGCGGACACTCGACAGCAACACAGATAGACCTGGCAGATCAAGCAGCACTACACAGAATGAGATGTGTATGAAAGTGCTTGTGATTTGCGACGGCTTCACCGCCTTGGAGGACATGTGTATGCAAGTCGAAGTCGTCACAGCTGCACTGCACTGAATGACATGTGTAAGCTAGTCGTCACAGCTGCACTGCGCTGAATAACAAGTGTAAGCAAAAAGTCACAGCTGCACTGCACTAAATGACATGTGTAAGCAAATCGTCACAGCTGCATTGCACTGAATGACATGTGTAAGCAAGTCGTCACAGCCGTACTGCACTGACGGACATGTGTAAGCAAGTCGTCACAGCTGCACCGCACTGAAAGACATGTGTAAGCAAGTCGTCACAGTTGTACTGCCCAGAACTAGTCATGTTGACGAGTCATCGAATGCAAACTACAAAAGCAGGTCAAAGAAAGACCGATTAGTGCAGGATCATGCCAGTCGTGGTTCTGGAACAGAACACAAAATCAGAACATCAAGGGCAACAGAACGGGGGGGGGAAAAAGCTTCAACAACTAGCAAAACCTACGTCCTATGCACTTCGCTCGTACGCCATTTGTTCCTTGACATCGAATGCCATCCGCAGTCAGTCAACTACAGGGTGCCAACACGCAGTGCAGGCACATGCACCATGAGCATACTACTAAATGCATCTCCAATCCGTGGCACCCACTGGACAGAACACGACATCTGACGAGAAAGAGTCTCGGTGAATGGGGCTTTCATGCTTCTCGCTCTGGCCCATACGAGCAAGGACATCCTTGTGCAGTCGTAGCCCTCGGCTACCGTACACTGTCATGCACCAATCCTTTAGCCACTTAGTGATCAACGCATGCGGGTAGCCTGCTTCCTGTGTGAACTTGTAAGAAACATCAGCAAGTGCCACCATGGTCCACTTCAGACAAGAGCTGAGCTGTTTGCATCGCGAAAAGGCCCCTACGACAATCGCATGCTTTTGCTGCACTGGTTGTGCAGACACAAACGGCGCACACAGATTGGGCTTATTGTCGTATCCACAGGTTAATCCCTTGATGTGTGCTGTCCAATGCAGCCGGCGCCCAAAGACGAGCTCCAACCCTACGCACGGGTTCACACTATCCGGCTTCAAAGGGAAATGGGGAGGATAGATTTGGCTCAAGAAGGTGTTGGCTGCATCTTCCAAGCATTTTGAAGAGTAAACCAGCGGGGCAACTATGAACACTCGCACATCATCCATAAATCGCATGCATGATGCATTCGATCCAGGCAATCTGCTTCTGATGACTTCTGTTGCAGGCTGGTCCCCAACAAGCGCGCGCATTTCATGCACCACGAGCACCAGGCGAAACAATGCACCTCCAAGACTAGAGCCCATGGTAATCCCTTTCGTTTGGCATCCCGGCGCAGCTCCAAACTTGATATGCATGTTCAGACACGCAAAACACAACACATGTTGGACTGCACACAACGGGATTTCAATCCATGTGCCACTCTTGGGGCGTGTCCATGATGCATGGGGCAAGAGCTGGAAAGACCCAGCCTGTTTAGCCTTACACGGGGAGACCCACGCTCTAGTGCAGCCTCTGCCAATCAAGATCGTGCTAATCTGATTCCAGGCATCCGTGATTTCACAATGAAGCACGTTCATGAACCCATTCTCTATGTCCCTCGACAGGACAAACACGCCATAGTTGCGGAGCTCAGACAACGGTTGCCCCGTGCCCAGCGGGTCAGACTGCATATGCTTGAGGAAGCTCGTAGCTGCTTCGTGGGATGTGCGGTCAAAGTGGCTTGATGTTGGGAGCGATGCAATGCATAGCTCAATGCATCTTGCGACGAGTCTGAACAACAGAGCTGTTGGGCAAACACTTTGATCCCCAAGGGGCCTGACTCGCAACAAATCCTTGTGTTTCTGCAAGATTCGCACCGGGGTCCACATTAGAGGTCTCAAACCTCTCATGCTTTTTACTACAGCCTTGTGTTTTGCATTCAAGACATCTGGCTGGAGCCATTCGCTGAGTCCTGGAATGTGTATCCCTGACACATCAAGACTTGGGAGGTTCTCGTACCGAAAAGTATCCCCACCTATGGCGCGTACCCTACCGAGAAAACAACTGGAAGGATAGGATCGTCCTTTGAACACGCACGCGGCCTCAGAGCTGTCGTCAGCTTGAACAACATCACCGGTCTGGAAAGCAGTTTGCAACACCCCTGTCAAAGTGTGTGTGTTCACAGGTTCAGTGAGTACAAAGTGTCTACCCTTGGTCCAAGAGTTGGACATGGGAAACTCAAAGATGCCTGCCGCCAGCTCTCTGACGAGGAAAGGGCAAGTTGCACCAAATGCCGTGGGGTTTTTATCTAAAACATCAATGTAAAGACCCTTGCAGAAAGCACTGATACCATTGACTTGCATCATAGTGATTAAACGTTCATGCGATGGATGCTGCGGGCCATCACCTGAAAGGCCCCACTCGCGCAGCATCTGCTTCGTAAAATGCGCACACAACTCATCTAGCTTGCTTTGCGGAACGTTGTGCGAGTAGGGGTCTTTAACTTTTTTGGCAAGTTCGGTGAGGGCCAGGGCAATGCGGGTTGAAGCCCATGTTTCGTGAGGCACTACACGCGTTTGCACAGCTATGTTCCTCAAGTGGTTCAAGTGCTCTGGCCATGGTATCTCAGACTGACGGGCACATACATGCCCATGCTTCCGGGGAAAGTCAGCAAATTCAGGCCTGGAGCAAACACAAACACATGTAGACTCGGAATCCAAGCGCTTGTTGTACTTGTGTGCAGTGCGAATAAGCTGGATGACAGAGGGTAGCGGGACCCAACTGAACCTAAGCTTCAAAGTCAGGCCCGCCCAAATGGGCAATGGAGCCCGGCCCCTCGCCCCCACTCCATCTGGCCCATAGAGCATAACGGGGGGAGGGGGGCAGCATAGAAAAAAGTCATATTGGCATAAGCTGACATCAGTCTCAAGCATAAAATGGAAAGAGGCAATGGGGCCCAGGCCTCCCCACCCTCCCAGCCGGCCCATCAAGCATAACAAGGAAAGGGGACCGCATAAACAAAAGTCAGTTTCGCATAAAAATAGAAACCAGCAGCATAAAAAGGATACAATTCAAGCATACAAGGAGACTCCATGCGCTTAAGAACAAAACCTATCGATGATGGGATGGAGACATGGTGGTCAATGGAGACGGGAAGGTGCACAGCATAAAACAAAAACCCTTAGCATAAAAATGAATACCAAGTCCGATTGAATTGCTTGAATTGCGTTTTCGTCGTGTGCGACTCAACGTCGAGCCCATGCTGACACATAATTCGTGCGTATGCATGAATTTCATGTTGGACAATAAGACCGCCAAAGTCACAAGGACCAACCCACCAAACCACTGCACTCACCCGATCATGCCATCCCGCCCCGCACCGTCCAACTTCCCACCTCGAGCCCGACAACCGAGCCAAAACCACTTTCTGGGCTCAGGGATCAGGATGCAGAGCAGGAAGAGGACACTCACGCCAGTGCAAGCGACAAGCAGACGCTCGGCGGGAAAACTGCACCTACGAAAAAGAAATAGCACAGGAGCATGAAAGGAAAAGCCAGCAGAGAACAACGACCCCACCGCCCCGTGCTCTGCGAACATGTGGGGGGCGCCGGCCACCAAGAACCGATGATCTGCGCATTAGTTTCTTGACGTGGCCGTGCCAACCCTTGCCCGCCCGACACCCGCAAGAGCCGCAAGCGTGTGCGTAGGGCAAGGACGCAGCAGCCACGCTTTTCAGGCACGGAAACATATGCTTCACCAACGCAGCTTTCTGGAAGGAGGAAGGAGTTGAAGGAAGAGGCTAAGAAAAACAAGCCTTTGCGTTTTAGGCTTTGGGTTTGGAGTTTCGGGGCTGGGACTGGGGCTCGGGCTTGTGTTGGTATTTTGGACCATGCTGTCTGAGATGGGACTGTGGAGAATGGGCTCGGGTCGTCCCGATTCTTATTGTTGAGCTGCACGCACCCGAAGATTGTGCCGCATTTCTGGCAACGGGGCACCCACAACTTGAGTAAACTGCAAAAGGCTGCAAAAGGGTCATGACCAAACACTACCAAAGCGCACAAACACAGTCTAAAACAACAAGAACACGCAGCAACAGAGGGTCGATGAAGACAATAAAACTATAAAACACATTAACGACGAAAGATGACATCATCATGAGTTGGTAAGGTTTTGTGACTTTTGTGCTTGACGTTCTGAGATACGTGCAGTCTTGAGCACTGAGGTTCTGGGTCGATGCAACCGGATAAGGACATGGAGAAGTGCTACACTGCTACGCCGCCAAAATGGCAAACCCCCTAGTCACGAGTGTTTAAGTGATACCCGAATGCTCAGCGAGGTGGATAAGGAATGATAAGAACACAGATGAGCCGCATGCAATGTTGACTGTCCCGTCTCCTTTTGATTTGTCAGCAGCATGCTTCTGTCTGCTCACATCTGCTTGGCCATGCCCCTGGTTGCAATCCATGGTGTAAGCTTTGGGGATGCGTTATGCCAAGGCACCCAGGTACACAGACAAAGCCGGATCGTTGCGTCGAAAGCTTGGTGCCTCCACGATCTCTACCTGAACCAACAGTGAGAGAAGCAGGGAGATATCGTACTCAGATACTGTGTGTATGTGCCACGTGGTGCAGCGAACATGCCAGCAAGCAACCGAAAATGGTGGCGGCGAAATAAAACACCATAGTAATCCAAGGACACCGACGAGTACCAAAGCCGATGCTGAGCAAGCTCCGGCCGCTCTTTGGCAAGGTGGGCGGGCCTGCAGCTATTTACAGCTCCTGAGGTAGTGATTGGGCATGGCATGGCATGACAGCAGGCGGCCTCGGGACGTTTTCGCAGAAGCGAACGTGCACCCGCAGCCTGGACGGCAATATATCAAGCCATGGCAAGCCAAAGACGAAGGTTCAGGTCGGCAGATGCTCTCAAGAGCCGAGCTTCTCCGCAAGCAAGACCAACGAGCGCGGCAAAACCGCTGAGAAGAACGGTTTGCAACGCCATGGCATTCGTGGTGGCTTAAAGCATTGTTATTGCACCGCACCGTGTAAAGAATGATCAGGTTATTCGTTGCACCTCGTAGACGATCAGTCTGTGTTCCTCTCTGTAGAGACAGTGACTGCATTCCTTGAGCCGTATGAGGAGCGCAGGATCTCCCTACACAGTGCAGCAATCGGGACTTTTTTTTGCGTGTGTGTCCCGCCTTTGGAAAGACTCGCGATCGCGATCATCGAGGCCAGCAGTGCAACTGACAGACGACCATGCTGCAGAGTGCTACAGCATCTTCGACGGAGAACGAAGAAAACCAACTAATCCATCGAAAATGCTGGCGTGGATTCATCTCATTTCATTCCCGGCCTCAAGCAGAGACAGTACTCCACACGGGCTGTCTCGGAAGAGTAACTGCAATGCCCACAGCGCACTCTCTGCCTCGACAAGCGCAGCGCAGTGCTGACTGCAGACTCTGTATGTACTTTGCGTTCTGTCATCTGAGGTCGGTACCCTAGATCCATCCCAAACACGTGACCCAGGAGGCTGCTCCTCTCGAGAGACTCCTGCAGACATGGGAGGGTGACACTGTGTAAATGACACGAAATCCGAGGCCAAGCCTGCGCAGAATAGTCTTTTGCAGACTGTGCTGCTGCGTCTGTGCTACCGTCACCGACGGCGATGCAGGCCTCCAGTATCCTGCATCGCGTCACATGAACCCAGCAGCCGGGCTCTGTCTTTGCTTCACGCGTTCAATCTGTGACGCGGCTCCGGCCACACTTGTTTCGTAAGGTGTGTCGATTCGGCTAGCATGGCTACAATGCCCAGCAAATCGCTGAGCAGCAACGCATGTGCTCTGTGATTGGGCTGGCGGGGCTTCCTTGCTTAAGCGGATCCGGTCTGGCTGGCCCTACTCTATGGCGGTTGCACGACCTCGAAAATTGGAAGATGCAGTCTTTGCAGCCAGTGGAATTTTAGATGTGAAACCCTGCTTGCACGCTGCTACTAACATTATGCTACTCGACCCGCAAGCAGGAGTAAGCAGATCCACCTGGACACGATGAACATGAACGCCTCATGGGCATCTGCCTGCGATTTTCAACACACAACAGAGCAACCACACATAGCAGCATGTAAAAGTCGACAAATCAGCAATTCAGACTTTCAGCGAATTTCACCATGCCAAACAGGATGGCTCAGGGTGCCTGACGGCCGCGCACGAACTCTTTGTTCGTCGTAATCAACCTGGCAGTGCCAAACTCTGCAAGCAGAAAGCGCCACGCTTTGACCCTGCCTTTCGCTGTGGCTTGGGGCCCTATATTGTTTCGGTTGACAAATTCTGTTCAGACCCGATTCTCGGGCAAACTTGTATGAGGGATTTAGTTTCAAGGTTTGAACCGTAAGATCAAATGTTCCTGAGAATATATTCTGAATCTTATGTTGGAACTGCCAGTAACTTCTTTAACGACAGTTCGATAACATATACCCGTATTCCAAAGCGATACCAATGAGTTATTGTTGCAGGGGCCCGAGGTCGTTCTCTGCATGCCGTCTCCACATCTATCGAAAAATCGTTCTTGAGGACCCCTCGCAGGTCGCCTTGTTCTGTCCTCTATCCGTGTGCTGCCTATCCTGAAGTGGCGCAGGCCCATATCCATCGGCGTATCCAGCTTGTAGGACCCCAGGGGCCAGTCGCTGAGGGGCGTCCTGTGGTAGGTTTGATCTCCCACGCCTCCAGGCTCGCCTTTAGCCACTGCGCCCACTGGTGGCGCCTTTCGCCGGCCTCTGGGCCTTAGCTCCATTCTCCGGATCGTCTCGCCCTGCTCGTCTATCCGAGCCATCAACTGCTAGAGCAGGTCCGAGCCGACACCAGCCGCCGCGGGTGCCGCCGCTGGCTGCGGCGCGCCAGCGGACCCCGCACACTCGCCGGTTCTTGTCCGGGGTAAAACCCTGCATGTTGGCAGCCTTTCGGTTGTGCCCAATCTTTTGCTGGAATCTGCTCGGGCACGGTTAGCCTCCTCTCCGCTTCGGTCTAGCTTGCGAGGTTTCGCTAGCACTGTCCTGGCTTTCTTCGCCTTTCCCCTTCGGCCAGCATAGCCGGCACACATGGGTGTATTCGCCCTTATCTGGCCGGGAAGAGAACTCGCGGAAGTATCCTACGGCGGCCCATCCAACAGCCTGCCTCGACCCCTTTGTGCAGCCGGTACTTGCCCCTCGGGAGCTCCACGATCAAGAACTTGGGGACCCTAGCCTTCTTAAGCAACTGCCGGGGCCGGTGCTGCTACACCGGCGCCCTCATATCTCCTTCCCTCTCGTCGCCGCTGTCCTCGCCGTCGGCGACCGTCTCGCCGATGACCTCCGCGCCCCACTCGGCCCGGATCTCTCCAGCAAGCCCGGGACCGAGCTTGCCAGTCCTAAGCCGCGCGCCACCATAGGCACCCCTGCCATAGCCAGCAGCCCAGCGGTCGCCACCATAGCGCCCGCATACGTAGAAAGCCCAGACCTTGACCAGCTTGGCCCATGCCCATATCCTCCAGCTGGCCTGCCACTGCCTCAGTTTCCTCTTGCCTGACGGAGGCCAGCTCCAGTAGTAGCGCCCTGCACAAGTGGCCGTAGCACTTGTAGGATCGCCCGCCTTGGTCTCGTATCCTGAAGGCCGTCAGCTGGATGGAGAGGGTAGCGGAGTTCGAACCGGCTAGTCGGGCTACAGCTGGCCGCCTGGTTTGGGCGGTCAAGGATACTGTCGTGGAGCGGCTATCCTGTGACCTCTCCGAGCTCGGGGAAGCTATCGTAGTAGCCGGAGAGCGCGGAGGGGAAGCCATTTCGCGTGGCTCCTAGCCACGTTCCCTTTCCTACTCCCCCTACTTCAAAATTACCACACCTTGGGGGACGTTATCCAGAATGGCCACGGAAATGCACAAGGTTCCTCGCCATTCCAAGTCATGCTATCTCTGCTCTTGCAAGCTGGAAGCAATATCCGACGAGAGCAAGTAGATAGCAGTAGAAACTTCGTTTCTAGCCGAACCACCTGCGACGGTGACGCGGGACGAATCCAGTTGGCACGGTACACCTCGAAAGCAGATTTGCCTTTGGGTCTCGAGGATCTGTTGTGCGACAAACGTACATCACTGTCACCTCGGTGAGATGATGGTTCACACACAGCGTGGACTTTCCCTTTCCCTGGTTCGCGCGCTGCCGGGCTTTGCGAATCTCCAGCGAGGCTTCGGAATTGATAAAAATTTGGCAGCCACCGTGCTTAACCCAGAATCTGTGGTCTGACGGTTTCGTGCATGCTTGACTTCGACGTCTGTGATGGTGTAAATTGAAAACATTCAGCACACCTGTTTCCAGCTGGCTGACTGCAACTCGTCGCCACTTACGTTTCGCAGTTTCAGGCCTCTGCCCAGGCTGCATGCAGCATGTCTTCTCTCTCTCCCAGCCTCGAAGGAAACGGTCGAGCTCATTGGGACATGCATCCGGATCAGCAACCAAGCCGACAGCATACGTGTCACAGTTGATGATATAACCGTAGTGACGCCGAAATTGCCATCCAGCAGCAAACAACAATACCCGCCGTATCTGCCGCACCAAGCCCGGCTCAAGCTGACAGAAGTCATCGAAACTTTGCTACCCAAAGGCTTCCAAAGGAATTGCATCCGCCCTCCACCTTCCGTCGTGCACAGCAAGGAGCTGAAGTGCTGCAGAGCACCTGTCAGAACACTGTCTTTCGGGTCTAGGCCTAGGAGGCTGAACAGCGGGGGCCGAGCTTCTGGAGACCAATTCTTCCGGAGGCATCCGATCCAGTACCAGGTCAACAGACGGTTGGGCTCAAGGTTAACACACAGCAAGCTGACTTGCCACGCGGACGCCGAGCCTCGGTCCTCCAAAAACTGTCAGGAAGAGAGAAGCCGTCTTCCGTTGACAACATGGAAAGCCAGGGTCTCCACAAGTCGAGGGTCGACATCTTCGGTGGCTGCCCCCTCCGCAACCTCTTGAAAACTCATGTCCTTGAAAGCTTCACAGAAGATTTCCGAAAGCCAGTTGTGCACTAGGCTGCCTGCGAAAACGAAGTCAAGCGGCCCAAACAGCTTGGACCATTTACTTGGGCTCGGAACTGCGGGCATACCCCGCAGGAACAAACCAAGTAAAGCATCCACGCATTTCCGCACTGCATCGTTGCGGTCCTTACAATTCCTCTGGCCGTGGGCAACACACGAGCTGCAGGACACGTGCGTGGGTGCACCGTTCATGGATGGGCAATTAAACATCTCTGCGAAATAGGACACCTTGCGAGCGAAAGAAGCATCTGAAGTGGACTCCTCGAACTCTGCATGCTGCTGCTGCCCACCAGCATCTTCCACTGCACGGGCCGCCTGATCTCGTTTCCGCCAAAAGGAAAGATAATTTACCAGCTCCTTTAAGGCATGGATGGGCTTCAGGCGGGGGTTCTGCTGCATTCACTCGCTGCTCGAATCTTAAATTTCGTTCGAGCCATGCCCGTGCGGCCTGCCGCATAATTACGCAGCCATGCAGCCAGTATCCTAGAATGCATACACTCGGTTCAGCAGTGTCGAGTTCACGACGGCCAACAAGGAGCCACTGTTCAGCTGAACCCCGTGGTTCATGCATCGACAATGGGCAGGAAGCAGTGGATGCGATGAATCAAGAGGTCCCAACACAGTAGTTTTCGCCTTCTGAACCAAATGCGCCAGTAATCGTAGATTGCTTGCAGCACCGTCTGTCTCTGATACATCAATGTTGATTTTAGCTTGTTGCCTCATATATCCAACCAGGCCGTTTATGCACTTGTATGCAGGATGGTGGTACAAAGCGTAGCACTGGTGCTCTGCCCCCGTCGCTAGCAGGGTCACCGATGGCATACCGATTCGGTAGACCAAGTTGTGGCCACTCGGCCACAGGATCATGATGCGCATCCGGCAAACAAGTACTTGCCAAGTGGACCGACACGGCAATCGGACTTATCAGCATTCATGCTGCACTGTAGCTGTGTTTCA